AACAAACATACATATTAAACAACAGATGACAGATTCATGACCTTTTATCATATTTAGAGGTACATGTGTAGTTTATTTACTTTAAACATGTTTTTAAATAATTTTTGTAGAATTTTAAAATGTAGGTGTATTGAAAAAAGTCACACACAAAAATCTTGCATATTAAAACAATAATCACATTTTAAAAAAAATCTTTCTAAAATCTACTTTTAAAATAATATTGTTTATGGAGTATCCATATTACATTTCATGTTTCTAGTCTTTATATTAGCTGAGATTTTAGAATTTCACACACACGACAAACAGAAATATAGAGATGTGAGAACACTGACTTTAAAACTTTTTTTTTTATCTTAAAAAAGTGCATGGGTTGGTGCCTTTAGTATTAACTTTTCAATGCTAAACTGTTTACAAATGACATACATTTTGTGTGTATTCTATTCTACGAATGCCGAACTTTACAAAAACAAACACATTGAAAAAGTGTTATTTTTGTCATAAATTGGAGAAAAAAAATGCTGTGTAGTGACCCCTTAATGTTTTGCCAACTTTGCTTCAAGCCATTTACTGTAAACATACTAATTATATACTTTGAATCAGTGTCTGTTTTTTCATATTCCACAAATAAGGCAAAATAAAAACTAGAGGTTTGTTTAAATTATAATGATTTCCCTACAAGGACATGATTATTAACAAGCTGCATGCTACAAGTCAACAGTTTACATGAACAGTTACTGAGTAACAGATTTTTAAAGTCTGGCACAACTTTTGGAATGAACTATACAGTATTTCTGCTTTTTTTCACATATCCTTGAAGGTCCAAATGAATGCTGATGTTGAAAACATTGCTTACTCAGATATATGCAACAAAAATTAAATTGTGCTTATCTGAATACTGATATTCCAAATTGTAACGGACACATCATATCCTCAAAAGCCACCATATAACTTTAGTAAAATAAACCTCTCTCATCAGAAAAACTCCACGATGTGTTTATGGTTGAGGCGGTCAGAAGAGCAAGAAACAGTACCATATATCTCCTTCAACACTAGAAGCAGTCAAAGGGGAAGTGGAAAAGAAAAAGACTTTCTCTCAGGAAGGCACCAGAGGAACAGATAGATTAAATAGGGGGCTGCGTGGTATCGAGGTATGGTATCTGCCTTGTGTGCTAGAGGTCCCAGGTTTAGGCCCTAGTGATAGCTGGGATTTTTTTTCATGTGGACTTCTAGTAATTTCCCCTGGTCTCTGGGTAGTGGGATCGGACTCTCATGTGCATTGTTGTGCATGTAAAAAATCCCTTGGCGGTTAGAAATCGAAAAAAGTAGCCTAACAGCGCTGCCCGGGCAAAATTTGGAGCTAAATTTCAGGATCCTCACCGGTGCTACGGAGCCCGTGCACTGCGCTGAGCCTATTCGGAGTTAGAGGTACAATGTATTGGGAAATGAACAGGCAGATAAGACTTGCTGGTTCTGCACCACTTGGAGGTGAACTGATGTATCACAAGTTAGATATTGTAAGGACCCTTTGGGAACGGGTGAACAGTAAGGAGGCACAGATAGATCATTGTCGTCTGAGGACAATGGCACTGCGAGGAGTTACCAGGGGATCTGGCCGACGCTCAACCCTCACGGGAAGGATGAGACGGATATACAATCAGACGGTTACTGGCACCATCAGAAGTGGAACTCTTCGCCTGCTGCTGAAGATGGGGACTAAGCACTTTTGGGAGTGTCCCGAGTGTTTTGATGTTGACTTTTAATTCTGCATACAACATTCAGCACTGACTGCTGATTGGCTTATAACAATATGAGTCTAGCGTCATCTGCCCTATGTGCCATTGGCATAAAAAGGATCCTTTACCCACTTTATCAATGATGCTATGCAGTCATGTATTTTAGGTATATATTCTATGTCCCTATCATCATCATCATCATGTGCCTTGCCAACTGGCGTAGGCGTTCATGCATCTCCACAGATCTCTGTCTCTTGTTCTCTGGATCAGTTTCACCGATAATATCTCTGCATGCCTCAGTCACAGTCCATCCGTCATCATCTCTTTCGGTCTGCAACTACCTCTTCTACCGTTGATCTTCCCAGTTGTCACAACATTCTCAATAGCCTCCCCCCTCATCACATGACTAAAGAACAGTGCTTGTTTTTTGCTTATAGCTGTATATATTGATCTGCTTTCATTAGACTCCTTTAGGCAATCCTCGTTAGTTACTCTGGCAGTCGGTGGGATTCTTAACATACGTCTGAAAAACCACATTTTTGTCCCTAAGGAAACTATTTTTAGGGCAGAGCAGATAGCAAGCAACTTGTCAGCCTCATATATCAAGAAAATCTGCCTGAAACCATTCACTGATGACACCTGGGACCAACATCTGAGCTGTGAAACCTACAGCCACACTGACTGCAGCCCACAAGTTGCTGTAGCTGTCGTCCTGGGTTACAACTGAAAAGCAAGACAAGCACATTTAAGATTCTCATAAAATCTCCTTGTTAGTTTGTGGGACCCCATTTTGGCAAAAGAATGGGGGGGGGGGGGGGGAGAGGACCCATAAACCCACGCCTACCATTTTGTAAAAAGCAACTTATTAGAGGAGTTTCTTTCAAAGTCAGAGTGCATCTGACTGATGGGCAAGGAACCAACAGTCTGCAAATAAATAAACCAGATATGTGAAACGGATGTACATACACAACTCAAGTTCTAGAACGAGACATAAGTCCACAAGTGGATGAACAACTAGAAATGTCTGCTAGAGTTTAATGCTGGTGAACACTAAGAAGAAGAAGAAGAAACAACAGCAGGAGGGGGAGGAGAAGAAGAAGAAGGTTCTCATAAATAATAATACAGAAACTGCAGAATGAAACATATAACACCAAGAAGCTATAACAGTCATTCACACAAGCAACAAGAGCAACACAAGTGCAGTGGCAGCTCACTTGCCTGTTGACTCATGGACATGTGTTTGAGTTCTCACCAAGGAGATAACCAACCAGTACTTTCACAGCTAGTGAATGCAGAGGAAGAAAAACAACTGAATGACACCTCTGGTGTTCATAACACTCCTGCAGATCTGTGTATAGACTTTGAAGCAGCAAAGGGTTTGTCAGTTTTTGAGTTGAGTTGAGTTAAGTCAAGAATTGACATCACAGCACTCGGGGCATTCCCATGTGTACTCTGTCTTCATCTTCAGCAGCTAGCACTGAGTTCCAGTACTGATGGTACCGGTCACAATCTGGTTATATGTCCGTCTTGCCTTTCCTCTGAGTGCAGTGAGCTGGGCAGACTCTCTGGTTACACCCAAGTGCCTCATTCTCTCCAGGCCAAAATAATCTTGTTTCTCTACTGATTCTGTTCCCAAAGGGCCTTGACCACATCTGCCTTGTCATATATCAATTCACCACCCAGTGGTGCAGATCCGGCCAATCTGTCTCGCTGTTCATTACCCACTACGTCAGCCTTGCCTGGAGAAAACATTGTCAGTTTTTGAGTCCAGATGTATAGGCTCAGCTAGCAGAGACAATACATGTATTACTTTCACAACAACTATTATCAACAGAAATCCCTCTACTGCTCATCGTCATGTAGCAGGTCCTTTGCAGAAGGTTGTTGTCATCATGGTCTGCCTGAAAGAAACTTGGTCTCTCGCCAGCTCTCCCATCTTGAGAACTTTTCTACTTGAAGTGTCACTTATATCCCGTGCCTATCTTCATGCTGGTTGGTACCTGCTCATCTTTCCTGCTTTTATTTCTTTTCCCAATCTGTCGTGGTGCTTGACAAAACCAAAACATTTCATCCTGTGAGATAAGATGCTGCCCACATCCATGTCCATTCTAGAAACAAAATTTAAATGCTGACTACATTCAACCTGCAAAGCTGTCAGTAGTCTCCGGTTATATTTATGGTCGGGTTTATTTGTGCAAATTGTTTCGCTTAGATTAAGGTAAGTGAGCCAGGTTGCAGCCTACAACCAATCTTCCTTTTGCTCCTATCCCCCATGATGTCAGCACCTCTTTCTCTCGCTCTCCATGGCACTCTGAGAATGGCTCTATAGGACCCCAGATCAAAAGCTACTATTCTGTCTGAAGGACTGCAAAGCAGCCCACGACTCACATCCACATCTTGCCATAGAAAAGGCACACTCCCTCAAAACCCTAACCTTGACTTCTCCACCGATGCCCAACCATGGGTTTTTAATGCTATTTCATCTCTGCATTGCTGTGGCCATCCTCCTTTTGACTTCTATTGTTTAGTCTCCATTGCTGTTTATTATGAAGCCTAGACATTCAAAGTTTGCGAGAATGCTGCTATTTTTAGTAAATATAATCAAATCCAGTTCATGTTTTAGTATGGAGAAACCAAACTGCAGTGAAGTTAAAACTTCGACCAAGACTAAGACATCTAGTTCATAATAAATTTGCTTTCTGGAGACTGGAGAATGCAATCAAAATAAAACAGCAGTTCTTAAGGATTTCTAATGGATGACAAAACAAGTATTTTGGTTTTTTGGGTCAGCAGAGTTAAAACATATGTCATCATATTTTTTGGTCTGTCTATGCCTCTTCTACCACTTATCTTACCAAATAGCCCATTGCTCATAAATGCCTCTCTTCTCATCTCCCCAACAGATAGCAAAAGGTATCATGCTCATCTTTCTTCTTCTTTTGTCATCTCCCTGATACCAGGTTGTAGCCCGGTGTCATGGTTTTCTGTACTTGTTTTGGACTTCTTGGTTGATGGATTTGTTTACCGGTTTGCTGGTTTCAGTTAAACCATTTATCTATCTCTTTCGTGGTAGACTCCTTACCTTCTTTCCAGATGTTTTGCTGTAAAAAAAGTCTAATATGCAGTTTTGTCTGGCTGTATTCTCACTAGGTGGTCGAACCACTTCACTCTTTGTCTGTCAATATAATTCAGACATAGTCTTGTTCTGCCTTTCTCTCTAATGATGATATTCATAAGCCTGTGTCTTTTTGTGTTGTTAGTGCTCACCTTTCAAAGCCTGAAATGTTGATATGTACACAAATGCCTGGCTCAGCCACAGGTAAATACTGCTGTACACTTGTCCCCACAATAGGGCAGGGATAGCCAGCATGTGCCATAGGCTGGCTACAATCACAGCTTTTGTCAATGGTTGTGTCCTATATGGTTATAAGAAAGTGTAACAGGGTTAAGTAACATCACATAAACAAACACTGCTGCACAAAGATTCATTCTTGTAAAATAAAACACCAAAAACTAAGTCACACAAAAGTTTATATATAAAAGCAAAATATCATATTAAAAATATACATATCAAATAGTATTAAAATAACACTTTAAAAATGTATGTCATGGTAGCATTGTACTGGCACCTTTTCTAGTCTTTATTTTCTTTCTGCAGCACTACTAAAATAGGCACTTTTTAGCGACTGCTGACACCTTTTTTTACATACTTTCTGGTGTGTACCGGCACCTTTTCTTTTTCTTCTAGAAAAAGCCTTGATTACAACCAATGTTACCAGTGACTGCCCTGACTTATGTCACCCCTGATTAAAAGATCTGTCACCTTTCATTTTTTTTTAAATGTCACTATTTGAGAAAAATCGTAGTAGTAAACAAAACAGTAGAGAAAGTGATGGAAAATGAGGAAGGAACATAAAGTTTATAATGATTACGACTCAATTGATATCAAGTGGTCTAAAAAATATGGATCTGATTACCATTCACACAAAATATATGGAGATTCACCGTTAGCTCTTTAAAATGTTAACACATCTTGTTGTCCGCTTGTGGGATCCAATTTTTAGTTATTTTGAAGGCCCACCCTGGCTTTTGCTGGAGACCCTAAATATAGCGGACCTTAAATATGGCCTAACAGCTGAACAAGGTTTCTGGTACCCCTTCACCAGTGATCCTGATCTGCATGGTGGCACTTTGTGTCATCGGGTGTTTATCGCTTGTGTGATGTCCTGGTGGGGTACAACCTACCTACCTACCATTAGCTCCTAAAAAGGGCATTAAGTATGTTGTGGTTATCAGCTAGGCTATGATCTCTGCACACCCTTCCCCCACCACAAATCTTCCAATTTCAGTAAACAATTTTAGTCATCTTTTACAACATTGCTAGGGTACAATGGGTATCCCCCCCCCCCCAATAAAATAAAAAACAATGCGCACACACACACACATAAACATACAAATATTGGACCCCAGAACTCACACTGAGTGTTCTTTATCTGATGCTTAACTAAATTCATGACTACTGATTTTACTATTTACATGAAGGTTTTCAGATTCCTGTGTCTGCAGTAGTTTCTCAGAGCATAGACTGTCAGTACTACGGCCAGCAGCACCAGGAGTTCTGTCAGGAAGAGAACACAGAGATGATACCACCGGGTCATTGAGATGGTTGTCAGGGTTTTAAACTTACTGGGTCATTGAGAATAATTGACAGGGTTTCAAACTGTTACCGGGTCACTGAGAATGATTGTCAGGGTTTTAAACTGTTACCGGGTCATTGAGAATGATTGTCAGGGTTTTAAACTGTTTTTATAAAAGAGGTATTTAATGGATATACATGGGTGGCTTTTTAAAATGTTCAGAAAAGTTTAAATTTCTGTGTGACCTTGTGTAAGACTTAACTCTTCCAGGCCCATACATTTTGACAGATTTGGCGCATTTTAATTTCTTTTAACAAAAATGGCAGATGGACTGGTGTAAAATAAAGGCAACAAAGAATGTAATCTAGCTCTAATCCCTATACAAATATACATTTAAAAAAAATGAAAGCACATTGTGAATTTGAATGACATATCAATGTTTAATGATGTAGTTAACAGGAAAACAAATTCAGCAGGTGTCATGATTACAAAGACAACATTAAGCAAAATGATTCTTCCCTTACCATGCTTTTACAGCCACAAGGGCAGTGAATATCCAAATTTGAGAATACAATTTAATGTTTGTTCAATTTCCAAACAAATTCAAAAGTTATGATTAAGGGGGTGGGGTGCCACAGTTAGTGCAAGTAAAATCAAAACAGACAGAAACACAGATATTGATGTACGCATATAATACATTTAGATATTTTTATAAATATGACTAATTAAAATTGTAAAAGCAGAATGGGAGAAAGAAGGAGGAGGAGAAGAAGAAGAGGTAGATAGAAGAAGAACAAGAAAAAGAAAAAAAGAAGGAAGAAGGGGAAAAAGGGGGAAAAAATAAGAAGAAAGAGTGGGGGGGGGGGGGGGGGGGGGGGGGGGGGGGGGGGGGGGAAAGTTAAAAAGAAGAAAAAGAAGGAGTTCAATGGACACAATAAATTTTATGGTTTTACCGGCAGCAGCAATGATGAAATTCAGATACAGTTCCAGTCCAATATAGGTGTAGTTGAAAGGTTCATTGTCCCCATGCTTGCTTGCCAGTTCAGCTCGTTGTACCACCAACTTGATAAATGCATCACAAACCCACAGTAGCACTGCTAGTTTCCAATGGGACTGGGAATAAGAAAACTGACAGTATATAAAACATATCAGCAATAGAAGACAGGCAGAATGACAGATTAGCACTAAGGCAGACAAACTGGTATATTCTTCTTCTTCTTACTGACAGACTGGCACTAAGGCAGACAAACTTCTTCATTCTTCATCTTCTTCTTCCGTGTTTGCCTTAAAAGTGTGCCTGGCACACTGGTTTGTATTTTACAGTTAGACTGTAATATCTATGCATATTGGCCCCTATAAATCTGATTTCAGCAAAGCCTTAAGTAGCTGCCTTTTATTGCAAGCTTGTTAGGGGCAGTCACATCTTGCTGTTCTCCCAAACTGGACCCCAGTACCCTTCACTTAATTTTGGTGAAAGTGGTTTTTTTTTTTTTTGGCAGTAAAATATTGGTCAAAATGTTCAAATGTTATCTGTGTGCAATTCATTTTGCAGGGTTTCCTAATTCCTTTATTTTTTTTTTATATCAGTCATTGTCCAAGATCAGTCGATTTTGTAGCTAAAGTTTTTATAGGATGAAATAGCTAGTTTCGTACCAAGCTTGCCTGGTAACCTGTCTGGTAGATCAACATCTTGTACTGTCTACAGTACCACTTTTTAGTGCTGGTGTAGATGTTGAAGCTGTGAATTTAGGGCCAAACTGGCTTGTGCAGTCACCACAAACTGTGGATGTTAGGATGTTTATTTTGTCCCCTTGAACAGAAAAAAACAACTTCCATCCTCTGGCTAAGGATTTTTCTTCTTCTTCTTCTTTGCATCCACAAGCTGTAAACTCCTGAAGAAAGTTCTGGTTGTTCGTCTACTTCTAGATTCTAGTCCTTTTCCAGAACCCAAGTGTTACGTGCACACCCATTTAACAGGTCTGACTCATTTTCATGCAGACTGTTAGATCCTTGCCTCTCAGGCAGATGTACTCCAACTTCGAAGGTAGCTCCCAATTAGTCGACTCTCACGACATGCTATTGGGCAGGCAGTGGATCTATTATTGTTTTCCCCACAATGGGACCCCAGAACCCCACACAGGGGATGGCTGAGGATTCAAATGCAGGTTTCTTGCTTTACAGCCTAGCCTTACAACCATTCAGAGCTGCTCCTCTGATGTTACTATTCTGTTTCCCTTATGGGTCCCAGTAGGATGCTGGTGGTGGTTTTCATTTGATTGATTAATATTTGCATACAGAATAGAGGAAATTAAATGTTAAATTAAATGTTTTTAATTTTGTTTGAAGCTATGAAAAAGAACTAAATTTCCAAAGAAAAAAGAAATGAGGAAAACACACTGCTGCTGGATAGGACGCACACTGAGAAAATCTGATAACAACGTAACTTGAATGTCTTTGCACAGGAACCAACAGGGACAAAGAATTATAAAAAATATTTACCCCCCAAAAAAAAAAATTAAAGAAGAGAATTATAGACTTGTTTGATAATGGGGAACGAACAAACAACTTAATCTTCAAAGGGTCACAAATTGTGCATGCAGGCCTGTCTTACATTTGGCCCTTCCAAACACCCATCTTTCACTCAGCAGTTGTATTTGATCAATAAAGCATGTTATATTCATATAATAATTTGCATATTATGAATATCAAGAAAAAACACAAAAGTATGGGTGGTAAAATGCATGCGCACACTTGCGTGCACAAACACACACACCACCCACATACCCATGCCTATCCACTCACTCACTCACTAACTCACCCACACACATTTTTATACATCCATAAATTCATACACATCCATACACACACTTACAAACACACCTTCATACATACATACATACATACAGACAGACATACAGACAGACAGACAGACATACACACACAGACACACACAGACATACATACATATATATATATATATATATATATATATATATATATATATATATATACACACACACACACACACACACACGCACGCACACAAACATATATATATATATATATATATATATATATATATATATATATATATATATATATATATATATATATATATATATATATATATATATACATACATACATGCATCTGTGCATACAGACACAAACACACAAGCTGACACACATGCAGGGACAGACATACACACAGTTACACGTGGAGACACACCCGCATACTCACACACCTGCATACGTGATATGTGGCGAGCTGCACACGATGGCAAAAGATAGAGCCTCCTAACAGAACCTGGTGGAGGGTTTATGCTCCTTTTGGGAATAAGAGGCACAAGCAAGGATGTTTGCACTCACATCAAACTGAGTGTTGATAAGCAGATGTCTGTAGGCCTGGCGTCGTAGCAGAAGTGCATCCAGGAAAATGATGACTGGATCATACTCTATGTACTTGTCTGCCACTGCTTTACATGCATCCTGTAACAAATGTACATTTGGGGAATTTTCGCAGGGGGTCTCAGTGGTGAAGTGGTCAAGCCGTTTGCCTCGCACTGTGAAGGTCGTGAATTCATTTCACCGCCGTGCTGTTTTTGTTCACGAGTGCAGCTTTTACGGAGATTGCTGGGGATAATCACTGGAGCTATGAAGTTCGTGCTTTGTGCACTGCCCTTAGTAGACAACTAGCCGTTCTGTGGAAAGAGACTGAGCCATATGGGATCAAATCTGATGCAATGAGGTCAATACTCTTGACTTCAACTTTGGTGAACTTTTTAAGAAAACTGTTACAGAAAACAGTGAAATAGAACTAAATTTCTCGTGTAAAAATGTATCACGAACAAAATGAAAACCCTTCAGAAAGAAAGAATAAACATTCAGCATGAATATTAAGTAAAGGACTTGTTGCCAAACTGAGGCATTAAAGTCAAGAAAATTGACATCACTGCACCAGGTTTTATCCCATGTGACATAGTATCTCTCCACTGAATGGCTGGTCACCTGCTTAGTGTCACAAAAACACTCTTAACTTTGCGGAAACACAGCATGTGATAAAACTATCAGTGCTAAAAAGTCACTAAGCCTTTCAGTAAATAGTTTAATTAAATCTTTATAAAATTATATTTTTAAAACAGTCAATATTTAAGTCTGAGTGAGTTATAATTACACTGGAACAGGAGGAGTTAAGCTTATCATGTGGGTAGAGTGAGTTTATATATATGGCTCTGGTAGGAAAATATTTATGCATCGGTGACCGGGTCACCCACTGGCTGGCCAGAAGACGACTTCGTCATCTGTCTGGACAGTACTTGGGTCTGTCTGATCGTGTCAACACTGCAAGAGTCTATTTCATGGCTACTTGGTGGCGAGCAATGTTAAGCCATTTGATACGGCGCAAACAGCCTAACCCACAATTATAACCAAAAGCTTCTCCTTCAGGGATGCTGGTTGAACATGACGATTTTTTTCGCAAAACAAGAAAGGAAGGAAAGATTTATGGATGTGAGTGGCATACGCTTATTCAATCACTGAAGACAAAAATCTGAGATTTGGAGCAGAAATGCTAGAGAAAAATTCTTAGAATACAATGGACCAAAAAGAAGAAAAACACTGACATCCCACAAGACCTGAGAATCGTGGAGAAATGGCTCATAAACAGCAGCCTGTCACAAAAACAGTATTCTGGTCATGTTAAGCATCACAGACTAGATTTAATTGATGATACCAAACTGACTGCATGGGTTAGAATGGAATGGAGAAGTAGACTGTTAGCCCTATGTGATACACAATAGGATAATGAATGAATGAAACATCATGGTGGCTTAGACAGAACGAAAATGGAGAGTAGTTTCTGGAAAATAATGCAGACCTCTGTAAATGTGGATAAAAGACACTGAAAATGCATTTGCTATGAAAGCACACAGGGCTGGAGAACTGGTGAGAGAAACAGACTTTCAGTTGTGAAGTGATGAGAGCAACATACTGTTAAGGACATACTGATTGATGACGATGATGATGATAATAGGAAAAGGTAAAACAGTATATTTTATTTAGACTCTATGTATGCAAGGTGAGCTGCATGGTACTCAAAGAGTTAACTCTTTCAGTGCCGATCAATACACCATGTTTTATAGGTTATTCCTGACATCATATACTTTTCTTAACACGTCATTCCCATACATATCCTCTTGGCGTTCATCCCAAGATGTAATTGCATAGTACCTGTTTACAGGATGTCTAAGATATTTCCACCTTTCGGCCGACACATACGACTTCTGTGGGCATTTGTTGACCGTGTTAGCCTTCCCAGGTTACCATACATATAATAACATATCCTATCCCAAATGTGACCCTATCTGCTCTTATCCTGCAGTGTTGTTTGAAACTTATTACTATAGGCAGGCCTGAGGTAAGGAGGTGCAGTCGTTACATTGTTCCAGGGCCATTGGAGCTCAAAAAGGCTTCATAAAGAAATCTTTTTTGTTTTTTTAACAAAGCTAAGACTCAACACTTTGTGTGTTTAGCAAAACTGCCTTGCTTGCCATAATCTCTATTAAAGATAGATACAATGAGAAAAATCAACAACTAAATTTGTACACTGAAACTAGTATCTAGTGAAATGGCATTGACATGTCTTATTGCAGCACTTAATAAGCTGTATATGGTCCTCCCCATTATTTGAAACCCCACCCTGGCTTTTGCTGGGGGTCCTGAATATAGCTGGGTCATAAATATGGCCAAACGGCTGAAAGGGGTTTCTGGGACCTCTCCACAGGTGATCCTCATCCGCATGGTAACACTTTGTGTCACTGGGTGTTTATCGCTTGTGTGATTTCCTGGTGGCGTAAAACGAGAGAGAGAGAGAGAGAGAGAGAGAGAGAGAGAGAGAGAGAGAGAGAGAGAGAGAGAGAGAGAGAGAGAGAGAGAGAGAGAGAGAGAGAGAGAGAGAGAGCATTTAATAACCCTCTCTGCTGACTACAGGTAATACAGATTTCTTAATCAACAAATTCAAGAAATACCTGCCTGGGACAGAAAGAAATCAGGTCATAGCTGTTAACACTTACACAATGTGATATTCTGATGACTCCAGCCTTGTACTCACGATAAAGCATCTTTACTTTATTGCCACACTCTATACATTGATAATTTGTCATTGTTTTGATCACTGAAACAGCTTTTCTTTGGCAATAGATAACTATTTATAATGAGAATACAATTTCAGCTGATGAATAAATGTCACAACACTCATGCTAAGTCCAAAAGTGTTTAGTCTCTTCCAGCAGAAGTTGAAGGCTGTGAATGTTGAAAGATAAATTTGAGGATTATTTAACACACAAAAAACAAAGACTGAATAGAATGAGGTTTCAAAAAGAATATGAATACTTAAAAGGTGTATGACTAAGATTATAAACTTAGGGTTTGGGTTGCTACTATGAGTTTGTGCGAAGACGAGATGCTGTGACACTAACCCTAACCCAAACCGTTTGCTGTCTATCGGCAACACACAGTAATTATGTCATTTGTTTCGTTCCCTCCTGTCCAGTCCGTAATTGCACTGTAGCAAGGGGACATCACTCCGACTAACCGGCCGTTGATGTTTGTCTACCGGCCGAAGTTGAAAGGAGAGCCAATTTTTTTTTACTAAAAAGGGTAAAGTCGGGAGATGTGAGACAGCGTCATCATTGCACACCGTTATAAACCATAAGTGCTCTGCCACCAGTACGGACAGCTGATAAGAAACTGTCTCCCTGTGTCGCCGTCCGCACGTAACTCTGTAGCTACAGCGACGTTCCTCCATTTACCCCAGAGTGTAAACTCTTGTACCCATTTCCTAGAGGCTGGGTGAACCCCGGGAACCGCCAGGTTCGAACACCGACCATGGACACTGCAGCAAGTCGCAGCTGGATTTGTCATTTGTGAAAGCGATTTAAACTTACAGCACAATGAAAAAAGTGCATCTGTGAAATACAACTTAGTACAGACCGTCATGAAATTGTAACTTCACCTAACAAGATATATTAACATGCTACAAGTTACTACAACTAATTCAACAATTTGCGGGACTATTCCGTGCTGTTGTTATTGTTTTGTTTTTTTACTAAAATCCGAAATCAGTTCTAGTTTTTACAAAAGTTTACAACAAAACAGACAAGAAACGGACACGAAACAATTTGCCTCATCGAATTTCTCAAATGTTGCGGTGTTGTCAGTAATTCGGGCAGAAAGGTTCGTATTTAAAATGTGAAGATGGTGAATATGTCATGGCTTGTACTGTTCAGGTTTTTTTGACCACATGCAACAGCTGCATTGCGGATAATTATTTCTAGAATGGCATAAAAAGGGATACGTGAACGACCACTGCCTCCTACTCCTACTGATGGAGAAGAGAGTGCTGATGAAGCCTTCATGCCCCCAACGTTCGCATTTGTTTTTGTTATATTGTGAAACGTTATGATATACTTTTCGTTCGATTTTTTTTTAAACTCTTGTTGTAATTACCACTTATAGTGCCATGCCGGCATCAATTTTGAAAATCGCGTTAATCCCCTTTTTATATTAATTATTATTATTATAATTATAGTCACCGGAAACTTCATTATATTGGATTATTTATTGGTGTAATGGGGACACTAACTTCAAGTCAAGTCTAGTATTTCAAAAAAAAATTCAGCTAGTTATTGGTTTACATTATGGTTATAGGCTGATCTTTAGAATTATACTAGTTGTATTTGAATTCTCGATCCATTTTTACCTTTTTTAAGTCACCGGAAGTCCGCAATTCAAGTCGCCGGAAGTCCGCAATTTATATTTGACTGAGGCCCTGTTAGGGTGTGTTATTTGCCACCATAATTTGTGCCCATTATTTGGAGGATAGCCCAGATTTAGATTCATTATGATTTTTAATTACCAGTTGTTCCATATTTAGAGAGGAGTTTCAGAAGGGAGATGTGAATGACCTTCTGAAGAAGGGAGTTTGCATCTTTTTTTTAATGACCTGACTGTATATTTCCTACCATTAATTGTATTTTTGTATAACAGTTGTAATACAAACTGAATTTGACCTTGTTTTATGCAGATTTAAAAGATGCAAGCTTCAGGACACACTGCGGATGATGAGGAATACACACTGCATAAACGGATGCCACCAAGGTAACTTGATGTCAGCCACATCACCCATTAATTGATGGTTTATTAAAAATTAGGCCTGCAGGTTTTTTGTCCCTGGTGGTACGCAGTACCAGCACCTTTTTAATGCAGGTTTTCCAGTGCTACTGTAATATACATTTTGTGGCGTTTTTAGTTTTATTTATTTAGTTACTTTGTGTTAACGCATAAAAAAGAGGTGGAGCACACGATAGAACAAGCTGGAAAGGTAACATCAGAGAAACTCTACAGCAGTATGATGTGTTTATGGTTGAAGAAGAACAAAAAGCAAAACCTTAGATCTCATTTGACACCAGAAGTGGTATAGAGGAAGAAGAAGAAGATTGGCACCTTTCTAGTGGGGGGGGGGGGGGGGGGGGGGGGTTGAGCCCTGTCTAGAACTATATACTTGATGAACCAAAGATATGCAAAGATTCCTTTACATTACTTACTTTATTGGTAACTTTCATAACCTCTTAACCCTTGTCGATGGTAAAGGTAGTCCTGTTGTAGATGATGGTTTGGGGTATGGAGTATTAGGTTTTGTATATTTTAGATCTCAACATAGGAAGAGATTGGACTAGTTTCTGTCCTCATCCCGTTTCCAAGTGTGCAGGGACTGGCCAGCGACCACTACAGAATTAGTTCAGACAACTGATTCTGACATTATGGACTGATATAGATATGGACTGCAAGATAGCTTTCATAAAGGCTACCGGCCTCCTGATATAAGTTTTCTGACAGAAAGATCGAAGACAAAGAAAAACAAAACATTCATGACAGTTTCCTAAGTGATGTAAATATCTATACAGAAATATATGTGTTAGAACACGACCATACCTGAATTACTTTGAAAAACAAAATAAAGTATTTTAACCAACTAACAATTTTGAGTGAGAAACAACCATGAAATGTATAATCAGTTTGAATCACCATTGATCACTGGCACATGAGGGCTAATAGACTAAAATGGCTGGGCATATTGAAAGAATGTGAAATGAGAGGTAAAAACACAAGGCAGCTGAATGGTCATAGACAATGAGGCAGACCAAGAAGATAGAGAGATAATAACCAGACAGACCCTTAAAGACTTGGTGTCACCAACTGGAAGGAGAAGGCCAACCAGAGAGATGCATGGAGGTGGGTGGTATCTGCTGCAATGTACTTTAAGAGCTTCAAATGCTGCAGAAGAAGGAATATTGCACCTAGACCAAAATCTACATGAGACCTATAGCAGAACATCTAAAGGCAAGAGGAATACCGAGGAAAATATGGATGGACAGCATAGCTAAACCTGCAAAACAGTAAATGCAAACATCTCTTAAGCCAGCAGAAAAGTTCAAGACAAATATATAAAGCAACAACTCTGGGCTACAACAGGTAACAGTGTGACAGCAAAAAAAATAAAGAGCCCTCAAAACAAGCACTAGCGTTCAGGTAATCTAGACGATGGACATCAAGACATTCCACTAGCTTCACTGCACCTGACTCAGCCTCTGTCCACAGTGTAGGTGGCAGCAGTGACAGCATTGTACAGTGCATAAAACGTGAATTCCAGTAACAACCTAGTAACAGTGTGACAGCAAAACAGGGAGAAGAAAATTAAATAATCAATAAAGAACATATGAACTTGGATTTCAACTACCAGACACTTGTTGAGTAGAGTTGAAAACAGGTTTTCACATATTTCATTAGTAATATATGACTGCAGTAAAAGTTCATTTTAGTCAATGCACCTAGCCAGATATTTGTCAAGAGGGAGAGTTGAAAAACAATAATTTTTTGTTTGTTTAGCCATTGGTAGCTATGGTCATGTAGTAGGTAGATATTTTCTGCTGATCCCAGGGTACAGAGGGCAGGTTTGTTGGGTGTCAGTTTGACCCAACCTAAAATGGGTACTAAAAAAAGTCATGGGAAACCAAACGTAGCCAGCATGGTGTTGACCACATCGCTCTTCGAGGGCTGATTTGTCTGTAACAGCATGAGTCTAGCCTCATATACTTGATCCACCACTGGCATGAAAAAGGTGCTTAACTTTGCTGTAAAAGTAATTTTGTTGATGCTCCCAACCAGCTAAAAACATTCTCATTTCAACTATACATACTATACTATACAAATACTATCATCATCATCAGGTGCCTTGCCGACTGGCTTGGGCGATCATGCCTCTCCACAATCTGCTATCTCCTTCAGCATGAATCAGTTCGTGTGCCAACCCACGACCATGCCACGCAACAAGACTGTCAAGCATCTTCTCTCGTTGTCTTCCTCTATCCCTCCTTCCACAGATCTTTCCAGTGGTCACAACATGTTCTATTTTCCCTCTTCTCATAACATGGCCAAAAATGATGACTGTCTCCTTCTGATGTCTGTGATGTGTTGTCTTCGGGCTCCCTCCTCTTTCAAAACCTCTTGGTTGCTCTTTTTGGCTGTCCAAGGTATACGAATACTATACAAGAAATAATAATAATAATAATATTTGGTTACTGTAAACATTATTTTGTTAATTAAACGCTTGGTATCTATCAACTTTTATTTTCTCGTCATCAGGCTCCCGCAGCGACTCAACGATGTGTACATCACTGAAAAGACACATTTTAAGGCTCAAGAAAGCAAGTGCCAAAAACTTCTCGACTCTGGTAATGAGGTGATAATTCATGGCCTCGGTAAAGCTGTCAACAGAGCTATCAACTTAGCTCTTCAGCTTAAGGAAAGGGGAAACGGTACTGTTCAGATCTGCTGCCAAACCTCAACTGTGGATCTGGTTGATGAACTAATACCAGAGGCAGATGGAGACGTCAAGACATCGATGAGAAGCAATTCTGCTATTCACATTCGGGTGTACAGATAGGATCTTACTGTTTTTGTTTTTTTTAATGAAAGTATTGGTGGACTATTCTGTCCAACTCGGCGTGCCTTGTGGGATCAAATGTCTGGGCATATCAAGAAACATATGATGTGTTGTTGTATACTTTGTTTGGTATGAGCACACTCGAGAAATCTGGCTAAATATTTTGAACATACAGCACAGTGTATATTGCAAGTCAAATGGTAAAACTCTCTGGTTATGAACCTTCTTAGACATCAGCTGCAGAATTGTCTGATTCTAAAAGAGTTATAGAATATTGTAATATATATTGTAATATTCTGTTGAAGATTTCAGAGTATGTAGAAGCTTCATCACCAATGCCAGTTGGCAAGGCATTTGATAATGATATAATAAAATATTAGAGACCTTGAAAAACACATTGTTAATTCATTCTGTTGTCTCCTTCATAATTATGTATACAATGCAGACCTGATAAGGAGAACTCAATAGGGACCAACAACATTTTTCTTCTTATTAGAAATTCCTCTTATACAGATAAGAGTTCAAGCAGAAAAATTGCAAGGGATAAACAAAGTAATGGTGCAGATACCTGAATAGTTAACAAGCATTTAGAAAGTTGAATTGAATCTCTGAAGTTGTGGATATACTGAAAAGTCAAGACTAAACAAAATAGTCAAATACAGAGGTTCCAGTGATGCTAGGTATAAAAAGAGAAGCTGAAAGGTTGAAGTCGTGCTGGTCAACTTCACTGAGTCGAGTTTTATCCCCACATGGCTTGGACTCTACTCGCAGATCAGTTAGCAGCCTGTCAAGAGTGTTGCACAAAGCATGAGCACCATAACTCCAGTAATGATACTCAGGGGTCTCCATGAAAATTGCCCATTTTATATATATATATATATATATATATAAAGTGAGTTACTTATCCTTTACAGAATGTTGTAGAGGGATTATCTGTTTGCGGATGATGCAGCCATTGTGGCACATTCAGAGGATGATCTGCGGATCCTGATGAATCACTTTGCAAATGCTTGCAAAGAATTTGGGCTTACCATCAGTCTGAACAAAACACAAGTGATGGGATTGAATGTTGGAAATCCACCAAACATTAGTGTGTATGACCATCAGCTGCTGGCTGTAAATGAGTTTGAGTACCTAGGCTCACGTATCTCAAGCAATCATTCTCTGGATGCAGAACTAAACAAACGTATAGAAAAGGCCTCTGCTATGTTTGCAAATCTCACAAAGAGAGTCTGGTCAAACAAAAAGCTAACTGATAATACAAAAATGAAGGTTTATGAGTCTTGTGTCCTGAGCACATTATTGTACGGCTGCGAATCATGGACTCTCTATGCTCCACAGGAAAAAAGACTGAATACCTTCCATATGCGCTGTCTGAGACGCATCCTTGGTATATTATGGCGAGACCTTGTCTCCAACGAATGTGTGCTCACAAGAGCAAAAATACCATCAATGTATTGTATACTGAAGCAAAGACGTCTGCGCTGGCTGGGACATGTCTCCCGCATGGAGGATGGTCGTATTCCAAAAGATCTTCTATATGGTGAATTGGTGACTGGGAATAGACCTACAGGAAGGCCAAAGCTGCGCTAAAAAGATGTATGCAAACGTGACCTAATAGATACCAACATAGGCACAGAGACATGGGAAAAATCAGCTGCAGATCGACTACTATGGAGACAGAAAGTGAAAGACGGACTGTCACATTTTGAAAGAAACCGAACACGAGCTGTGGAGAGGAGACACCGGAGAGTAAGGCTGCCTCACAACGAGAGAGTATCTGCTTTTGTGTGTATCCTGTGTGGCAAAGACTGCCATTCCCGCATCGGACTTTACAGTCACAGCAGATGCTGTTCCCAAAGCCAGCGGCACATCTCCATAGTCCCCCGGGACTGACGGATGCCATTATTATTATTATATATATATAAAGTTAGTTACTTATCCTTTACAGAATGTTGTAGAGCCAACCCCGGCATTTGTTGGCTTTTTGGCAAAAATTTAGATCAGCTAGCACTCAATTACTTTACAGGACATTGTAGAGCCAAACCCAGTGCTTTTTGGCAACAATTTAGATCATCTGGCACTCAATTAGTTTACAGGACGTTGTAGAGCCAAACCCAGTGTTTTTTGGCAACAATTTAGATCAGCTGGCACTCAATTACTTTACAGGACGTTGTAGAGCCAAACCCAGTGTTTTTTGGCTTTTTGGCAACAATTTAGATCAGCTGGCACTCAATTACTTTACAGGACGTTGTAGAGCCAAACCCAGCGTTTTTTGGCTTTTTGGCAACAATTTAGATAGCTGGCACTCAATTACTTTACAGGACGTTGTAGAGCCAAACCCAGCGTTTTTTTGGCTTTTTGGCAACAATTTAGAAAGCTGGCACTCAATTACTTTACAGGACGTTGTAGAGCCAAACCCAGCGTTTTTTTTGGCTTTTTGGCAACAATTTAGATAGCTGGCACTCAATTACTTTACAGGACGTTGTAGAGCCAAACCCAGCGTTTTTTTTGGCTTTTTGGCAACAATTTAGATAGCTGGCAATCAATTACTTTACAGGACGTTGTAGAGCCAAACCCAGCGTTTTTTTTTTGCTTTTTGGCAACAATTTAGATCAACTTGCCCTGGATTACTGCTGTGGTCAGCATCACACTAGATGTCTTTACTGCCCAGAACACAATGCAGGCTGGGTCAGCCTGGTAGCTAATGTCAGTTTTGAAAAGAATCTGACTATGTGGGTTCAAACCTAAGTGAATTCTATATATCAAGGCTGTTCAGCAGGTGGTCTATGGGCGGAATCTGGCCCATAGATAATTGCCAATTGTATTATATTATAATGATCTTTCTGCGCTACAGCTTAGGTCTCTGGCCCATGAAGATCACCATTGTTGGCACCTTTCCCATCTTTCCAGATGATAGTGTTATATAATGTATGCTACGAGGAGGCATGGGACTCACAGCCCATCTTGAAAGGCTAGTGTGACTGGACTAGCAAGACCTGTCTGCGTTAACTCTTTGAGTCCCAGGGGGTTTAGCATCACAGGCCCAAGGGGTAGTCAAAAGAGAAGTTAAATTGGCGCATCATGCATTTATTGGGCCTCTAGGTAGGAATCTATGAATGTATGATGTGTTCCTTGGGACTCAAAGAGTTAAGAAAAGTTTGCTTCAATTATAAACATGGGATTTCAGGACTGTTGTTGCCATCATTTGTGTTTAGTGTGTTTATTCTCAGACGCTCAGCTTTCCTCCTTTCTGTAATTTCTATCTTTACTCGCATTCCCTTCTCTATTTACCCCCCTGAATGCAACATAGTCTATGGCCTTTTCTTCCCACAGATCCCCCTCAATACATGCATCATTCATGTCCTACTTGTACACATCTTTATTTCATAGTAGAGGTCACATTGACATCATCTTCTTCTTCTTCTTAGAGTCCATGCCGTGTGGCGCTGGTAGTCATCACTATCCACAACCTTCTGTCTCATTTACTTTCAATCAACTGACACAGATGATCTTCCATGCCATGATGTCAGAATGTCCAGCTTCTGATCTCTCGGTCTCCCACTCCTCCCATCTAACTTTCCTACTGTCATGATTTACTCCAGTTTTCTCTTTCTCATCACATGACCAAAGAATGTAGATTGTCTCTTTCTGATGTGGGCAATCAGTTCTCTTTGTGAGCCAGTTTCTTGCAAGACATCTTCATTCCTCTTATCTATCTAGGGTATTTTCATCATTCATCTATAAAACCACACCTCAACAGCTTCCAAATAAGTTTTCACTAATTTACTAACTGTCCATGATTCACACCTGTATAACAGTATAGGGCTATGCTCCAAATAACGGTCCCAAATTATCGAGGCGGAAAATATACCCTAACTGGGCTTCAGTCGCACTTCCGGGGACTATACTGCCACCGCTGAGAGTATCCCTCACGCGGCGTGGATTGGGCTAAACTAGATAGCTAGGACCCACGAGTAAATAAAATGAAGGAAGCTGCAGGAGATGCGGTAGCTGCTGCTCGTGAGTCACAGCCATCTAGTTTAGCCCCAATCCACGCATGGGGGATACTCTCGGCGGTGTCGGAAGTGGCAATTTAAGACGATGGAAGTGCGCAATTGACATGTGACTGAGGCCCTGTTAGGGTATATTTTCCACCTCAATAATTTGGGACCGTTATTCAGAGGATAGCCCAATACAGCTTTTAAGAATTCTTTCTCATCTCTGGCGTAGCGGCTAGACACTCGCCTGCAGGTCGGAAGGTCGTGGGTTAGCTCCGTGGCGGAGCTGGACTTCTTTCAAAAATGACCTTGACTCCCAGGCAGACCCAGTCTTGGGAAGTAAAGGCGACCAGTGTGAGGCTGACCACATCACTCAACTTGTGCAGATTGGTCTATAAAAATACAGGTCTAGCCCTATATACCCTAAAGGCGTGGAAAAAGGTTCTTTACTTACTTTACTTTTGCATCTGAAGTGACAAAGAAAAATTGCATAAAATATTCCTCATCCCCATCTGTAATTCACCACAGAGGAATAAAGTGAATAAATTGAAACAGCCCGGCTTTAAAGAAACAAAAAGAACCAGATCTGACGCATTTTTGACAGACAAGTTGTAATGTTTAATGATCTGTCCAGTCGCATGCTGACAATAATACATGCTGACTGAACAAAAAGTACAGAAACAGACATTAAAAATACAGATATCACAAAATGTTCAATAAAGTGATCAAACATAGCACAACTAACAGCTTCTAAGAACATGTCTGTGTAACAATACATTTCTAGCTAAAAAAAAAAAAATTTTTCAAAGTATCCAGAAACCATGAGTTGTAAACCCGTTGGCTCGGTACTGTGGATATCGCAACCCTTCAGCCTTGATTTCATGATATATATGTAAATCAGAGAAATGAGGCTTTTCTGCCTACCCCCAGGGTGTGAACCCGGACCACAAAGAGTTCATCACCCGGTCGCCACGCAGAGGGTTTTAACCAACTGAGCGC